AGATACTCACCTATTCTAATCTCTATGGCTGCCTACTCTCCCAGCCATGTGGCCCTTTACCTGCAATCTGAGTCTTGCTGCCTCTGTTCTATGTCCTGGTCCCTCTCCTTCTCCTGGTCTCTCTCCTTTTTCTTTGGGACCCCGCCCCTAACTGGGATTGGAAGTCCCACCCTATTCTCTTCTGCCCAGCTATAGGCTGAATCAGCTCTTTATTAACTAATCAGATGGAAAAGAATTTTTACACATTATTGAGACAGAAGATGCTACAAATGTCACAACAATACCGATGTCCAGGCACAGCAATCAGCATCTGAACACACAGTGCACAAAATCATCCTCCAACAAGAGAAAGAGAAAGTAAAAAGAAAGAGGATGAAAGAAAAGGAAAGAGGCTGGAGAGATGGCTCAGTCGTTAAGAGCACTGACTGCTCTAACAGAAATCCTGAGTTCAATTCCCAGCAACCACATGGTGGCTCATGACCATCTGTAATGGAATCTGATGCCTTCTTCTGGTGTGTCTGAAGACAGCTATAGTGTACTTGCATACTTAAAAATAAATAAGTAAATCAAAACAAACAAAAAGGAAAGAAGAAGAAGATAAGAAAGAAAATTAAGGATTAGATAGCAATATGGCCTTAACCCCGACAAAGGCAGTTTAGGTAGAAGGATGGAACCAAATGTCTCCCTCCTGTGTACAGGGATCACAGCACACACCCAGCTTTGTCAAAATTATGTGTTAATCTACATTAGAATGATCCGGTCAATGAGAAAGGGAAAAATCCTCCCATAGGTGTGAAGAAGGGACCTGGGATGTTCAAGCAAACTGGCACATCCTTGTGGTGGGGATGCTGAACGCAAGCACAGAGACTGGAATGGGTGGAGGAGGCGTTGAGAGCAGAAGGAAGTGTCCTTCTGATTGGTCTGTTTTCCTATAACAGTGGTTCTGTTTTCAACTTGTGGGTCATCACTTTTAGGCCTAAGACCACGGGAAAAACAAATGTTTACGTTATGACTCATAAAAGTAGCAAAATTATAGTTATGAAGTAGCAACAAAAATAATATTATGGTTGGGGGTCACCCCAACATAAAGAACTGTATTGAAGTGTTGCAGCATTAGGAAGGTTGAGAAGCACTGTTCTAGAGAGATAAAAAGCAAGGTCATTATCCCCCCCCAACACTCCCACACACACACACAGAAAAGGACACAGGAAGATGCTGGAGCTGAGGAGAGACAAGAGGGCCTGACCCTGTTCTCTAAGACTGGAGAGAGTAATAAGATGGCTGAGTCACGTGGTAGGTGGTGGGCCCAGGGATAAGTGAGATCAGCAGATCGCCCCTCCTGAGCCACCGTCAGCTGTGGATGAGCCAGGGTGTGGTCAGCAGGTGGCGGCAATTTAATAGCTGAGCAGGAAACCAAGGGAGTAGAGGGTGTATGCAAGAAAGTAATTACTGCTCTGTCCCTGGACACTGAGGGAGTTCAGGAGGTGAGGTGGAATCAAGGACAGGAGGGGGTCCAGGAACAGTGAGAGAAAGGAGGTTCGGTAGATTAAGGGCCTGGTGGGTGGAGAAACTAATGAAGTCGGAGTTGGGAGAGTAAGTAGAACAGAGAAGAGGTATGCCTGCTAGGGGTACAATTATCAGTAATGACAACGTCCATTACCTTGGCCATGAGCACATGAAGTAGGCTGGAGGCCAAGAGCCACAGGAAGAGGGAATGGGTAAACCTCTGCAGGGAAGGGTCACCTGTGTATAATTTGGCTTCCCAAAGTCACCCTCCCAGGTGAGGTCTTCACTAAGACTTAGGCCTGGGGTTCCGCCAGACCTAGATACAAAGTTTCTCTTTTCAAGTGTAAGGCCCCATGAAAATGACTTCGTTTACCCAACCTTCGTTTCCTCTCAGGCAAAGTGTCAGGAGACTGTGTTCTGAAATCTGAGGAGGCCTGGCAAGTGTAAGGCAGAGGACATGCTCAGTGAGGTGGGTTTGTTAAGTAGCCACACATTGGTTCCAAGAATGCTTTGTTCTGGACTCCCAGAGCTGAGGAGTCAGTGTAGCAATCAAGCCTCTCGCTTCTAGTCCCCAAATCAAATGGGGAGAGCCTGCCCCTGTTTCTCTCCCATCTTACAGAATAAGAAACTGGGGTCCAGACAGGTAGAGACTGACTTCTATCACTAAGACTCTATAATCATAGACAGCAAGTTCCCCTTTAAAATCAGCTGAAGTCATGCCGGGCATTGGCAGGCAGATTTCTGAGTTCGAGGCCAGCCTGGTCTACAGAGTGAGCTCCAAGACAGCCAGGGCTACACAGAGAAACCCTGTCTCGAAAAACCAAAAAACAAAACAAATAAAATCAGCTGGAGTCATAATCAAGATTGCGAATATGTACAGATTCCTGGCAAAGGTTCACCTATATAATCCCGAAGCCACCAGATGCACCCAGACTCAAGATACACCCCGAGTGGATTCCCTCCATTCATGGATACTGTCAAAGATGGTTTTAATGGAAACAAAAGATCTTACTGGACACATCTGTGCTCTCTCTCTCTCTCTCTCTCTCTCTCTCTCTCTCTCTTTCTCTCTCTCTCTTCCTACATCCCCAAGTCAACCCTAGCCCTAGCCCCATTGGGCAAACATGGACAGCATTAGCTTTGCTAATGGAAGCGTTGACAAAGGGTGATTCATAGTACATGTGTTGGCTAATTGCTCTCCTTGGCCTAGACAGAAGGAGATAGAAAATGAGATTTGAATTTCCTTAGAAAATCTGATCAAGTCCATATGAAGGGCACTGCTCCAGCCTGTCCCTGAACAGATAGCTGGTCCACCTGGAATAAATCTCTCCTGTTTCCTAACCCCACTTTCTCCATTTATAAATTGAGAAGATGAAGACAGCAGATGCCAACAGCCTTCTTAGTTGGAGCCTTTAGATGTCTATGAGTATGTAGCCTGGCATCTCTCCGGTTGCCCTGGCTATTCGGGGACAAACACAGAGAGATAGGGAAGAAGGGGGCCAAGCAGATTCACCTTGCCAAGAAGCTGCCCCGGTCAAGTATCTAAGGTCTCTTCTCCCGGTTCAGTTGTTCCTTCCCATAGTCCAACTCCATTTTCCTCTTAGCATACCATACAAAATGTCTTGTTTACATCACCATTGTCTTTCTACAGTTGAAAGTTCTGGAAGGACTAGGACTTTGCCTGACCTATCTCACAGTTCAGCATCTGGTACCTAGTATCCTGTGAGCATATGTTGACTAAGGAATGAAGAAGCAAATGGATGGGTGTTGTGGGTAGTGCCAGGGCTGTGCCAAATGTGACCCTGTGACCTGTGCCAACTTCTAAGAGGAGGGGTTGAAAACAGAGTCAGGAGACCTGAATTCAAGCCCTATACTACCAATTAGTGGTTGTATGACTTTGGGAACATCACGACCTCTGGAGCCTTGGTTTCTTAATCCGCATATCTAGAAAAATGATCTCACCTGCTGAGGCATACTCCCAGGAATGAATAGTTACATATGTAACATGACTTAGTGCACAGTAGAGGTTTAAAAGAAGTTACGTTTCCTTCTCCCTCCACCCCTTCTGCTGGAGGATGAGAGGAAGAATGTGCCGGGCCTATGTTGTGGTTTTGTGGTGCTTTGTGTTGTTTTTAATGTTTGCGGATTAGAGCCGGGCTATGGTACTAGGCAAGCATTCTGAGCCACTGAGCCAAATCCATGTGCAGGAGAGTATTATGGCTGGACCTCAAAAGCTTTCATCAGGAGCCTCAGGGATCTAGAGTGCAGAAATAACTCAGCCAAAGATCTCCTTTTTATTTCCCCTGTTTTGTGGCACCAGAAGTTGAAGCCTGGGTCTCAAGCACACTAGGCAGGCAATGGTCACCTGATTTATACCTCCAGCTCTATTATTATTGTTATTATTGTTATTATTATTATTATTAAAGACAGGGTCTCACTATATAGCCCTGGCTGACCTGAACTCAACAGGTAGACAAGGATAACTGAACTTCTGATCCTCCTGCCCATACCGCTGAATGCTGGGGTTACATATCTGGTCGAGCACATGATAACTTCTCCAGGGGTTTCCAGGAGAAGAGAACAAGAGCAGTCTGATGCCGGGGCTTGCTTTCAGAAAGAAGAAGCATGTGTTCTAGTCCGAGGCAGGCTAAGCTGTGCCCTGACAGACACTGGGGTCTAGTAGCTGTTTCTAAGTCCCAATTTCTCCTTCTCTGTCTTTTACTCCTTAGCCTGCCTTATAAGAAAATTCAAGGATACAGAATTTGATATACTATTACAACAATGACAAGAAAAAATACTGCCGCAACAAACGAGGTTCGATTTCGATTCTCCCTCCTTCCCATGACACAAATATTTAAAATCTGAAAAGGAGGAGGGAGTAAGATTCAAAAGTAGCAATAAGCCTCGGCCTCTATGATCTGTAAAGAGAACGAGAAAAAAATAGTAAACTACATCCCAGAAAAACCCTGATGGAGCAGAATGCTGCATAGATCGTTACACCTCCTTCAGGACCATAACCGGCACTCACACGCTACTGCTGATGGGCAATAACGCCCTCTCTCTAAGCAGATTTCATCTCACCTAAAATGGAACAGGTACGCCAGGCATGCTGTGATTCGAAGGGCCAATCAAGGAAATAAATTAGAAAGCAGCCGCTTCGTTAAACACTGCAACATTTCTCTACAGAGACCTCTGCCGCTAGAGGGCGCTGTCCCTCTAAGTCCCGGCAGGCTCGGGCCAATTACAAGCAGCAGTTCTTTAAAGACCAAAGGAGGGAATTCCGTCGGAGAGAAGGGGCGGGGAAGGGGCGTGCCTTTCGGCCAATCAGAAACTCCTGAGAGCCAGCGATTCCCTTGCAAAACTGTGCTGGCCAATGGTAGGGGAGGGACGAGAGGAGGGCATCTCCTGCTGTGTGACTGCTGTGTCGACCAATGGGCGTGCGGCCCGCGGCCTATAAGTGTCAGCTGGGCCCGATCCGCCTGGCTCTAAGATCTGTTAGTCCTCCCTGCCGTCGGAGGTGTCCCCTGGGTTTGCCTCGCCGCCGCCGGGTCCCCGCACCCCGCCTTGGCCCGTGCACAGCCACTCTCCCTGCCCTCCTCGCCTTCACCATTCCCGGATTTCTGCCGTCCAGGCACCGGGGCCGGGTGAATGATGCCGTCGGAGAGTGTAGCTGAGAGCCTGGAGCAGCCAGCTGCGCAGGTGGGGACCGGTGCAGCCTCGGCAGTGGCCACGGCTGGGGCGGCCGGCGGCGGCCCGGACCCGGAGGCCTCCTCGGCCTCTTTGGGACGGCACCAGAGCCGGCTGAGCTGGCCACAGGTGAAGCGGCTGGACGCACTGCTGAAAGAGCCGATCCCCATTCACGGACGAGGCAACTTCCCAACGCTGAGCGTGCAGCCCCAGCAGATCGTGCAGGTGAGGGGGCCCTGGCAGAATCGGGGGTGGGGTGGTGCTCTGCTGCAAGGCACCTGGAGTCTGCGATTGGCCCGGCAGCTAGAGAAACTAAAGAACGGGAATCCGGGCCACCAGTTCGGCTCTTCCTGCGCCCTGCTGAACTTGCCTGTCTGCCGTTCTGGAAACCCCTTACTGGGAACCACTCACCAAGGGAGATGGGTGGAGATGAAGGAGGCACTAGATGGGGCATCGCCCTGGCAGCCGCCAATGAGGAATGTGTGTACTTAGTTCCAAAATAGTTTTTCTTCCTCTACTCCACATCCTTGGACCTCCTGCATCCTCAGGATTCTAGGGGCACTCTACCTTTGTGTTCCCACAGCTCTTGGCTCAAGAAACCTTGGCTAGGTGAAAGAAACAGCCCAGAAATCCTTGGGAAAGCTCTCTGCCTCCCACATGTTGTGGCCAGACCCAAGACCTCACCCCTTTGAAGATAGCATCAAGTTTCCATTTTAGGTGTTCCTCCTCCCTTAAGACTGACTGAAAATGAAGGCGGGTCCAAGGTTCAGACCCCAAAGCACTATCTCCCTCCTGAGTATCAGATTCTCGCAGCTGTCCCCCTGCCCCCAGCAAACTCCAGCTCTTCCTTTTACCTAACCCTGTAAGACCCCAGCCCTTACTCTTTCCGTGTTCAGCCCTAGCACTGTGATATTCTGAAATACCAGAGGATGCCCGTTCTTATCCCCCATTCTAACTGAGACCTCGGCTACCTAAGGCTATCCAGTGAGGTGGAGGTCAAATTCAGGGAAGGAGTCCTGGAGCTCCCCAGGAGCAGATGGTACCTGCTCAACAGTTTCCCACCCCTCCCCAGGTTCCCAAGCTCAACCTCTAGTCCTGAAGTCCCTGGATAATGAAAACCAGAAAAGTTAGCTAGTGATAGCTCCAGTGTGTTACTGTCAGTTATGGGCTTTACACACAAGCCAGGACATATTATTCCCCCACCCCCTTACTATAGCCTCCGACAGAGAAGGGGGGTGGCTCTTGGGGTATAGGCTTGACCTCCCTGCCTAGGAACAAGGAATGAGATGGAGGGGGTGGGGACGGATTCTCCTGGGCTGACTCACTGGCTGTCCCAGTGGGGCTGGCTAAGGCATTCCACAGTCTCCTGACGTTGCCTGGATTATTAGTAAATGGCTTCTGTGTGTTTTGTTTTGTCCGGGCACCTATGAAACGTAAATGATCCTCCTGCCCCAGCTTCCTCTGTAGCTGGGATTACAGGTGTGTTGCTATCCTTATGCTGGTTTTTCTCTTGAGGAAATCCCATAATCCCAGGCACGAAGGGAAGGAGAGGGGGTGCTCTGCTCGGCACGATTAGGCCTCTCTGCAAGGACAAGTATTCAAACTGACACTGAGAGCAGGAATGTGACTGCATCCCGACCTCATCTCCCAGTCAGGTGAGGGGAGTGAGTAGAAGCCACGATCCTTCTAAGCTCACCATCCCAGAACAGGAAGCTGTTAGCTGTGGAGAGGTGGCAGAGGCTCTGGGGTAGACTGTGAAGTCAGGCTGCTGGGTTCATTGTGTATTCCCTCTGTTGGGTTTAGTGGCCCCATCTGTTCAATGGATGTGGGTCTGACTATTCAGCAGTATCCTTTTTGGTTCCAGATTCCCAAGGGACCACGCGCCTTCACCTGTCTATGCAGCCACTCTGTCTGCTGGTGGGGATCCACAGCCCACAGCTCTTAAAGCTGTTGAGATATGAAGGGCTGCAAGAGGGAGATGTAGGGGACAGGGAGGAGCCTGCTAAGGGCTTCTCACCAGTACTAAATTGTCTCCCTGTTCAAGAATGGAAACCTTCTGCCTCTGTACCCAACAAGATCTTCCCAGAAGCAACAGTCTGAGCAACTAGGAAAACAGATCCTTGCTTGTTGTGTCTGGCTAAAGGGACCCACTTTTTTCTTTTTTTTCTTTTCTTTTTTTTTTTTTTTTTTTTTGGTTTTTCGAGACAGGGTTTCTCTGTGTAGCCCTGGCTGTCCTGGAACTCACTCTGTAGACCAGGCTGGCCTCGAACTCAGAAATCCGCCTGTCTCTGCCTCCCAAGTGCTGGGATTAAAGGCATGCGCCACCACCGCCCGGCTAGGGACCCACTTTCTTACAGGAGCCCCCTTTGCTATTGCTCTGGAGACCAGGTCCTAGTTCAACTCAGCCACTTACTGACTTTGTGACCTTGAATGAGTCACTTGCTTTCTTTCTCTGGGCCCAGAGAATTGAACTGAACAATCTGATCTCTCCAGCTGCAGCCAGAGGGCTTGCTCTTGCAAGCTTTGCAAAGTCTTCAGCCTTACTAAGGCCTCAGCAGAAACCCTGGACAGAGCAGTTTGGGAATTGGGTGCCTCAGCACAGGAGAAAGGAGGCTACAGTCACTGCCCCCTCTGTGGCTGGAAAGTCTGATTTGGGAAGCTTGCAAGCTGCCCTGCAGTCCCTGGGTGTGGCAGTATCTGGGGACCGCCTGTCAAACTGGCTGTAGTCATACCTGGGAAAGAGACAACAGCCAATGGTTGGGTGACACAGCTGGCCCCATGGCCCTGACGCAGGGGATTTAATGAGGGAATTGCTCCCTACTTACCAGGCCAGAAGGCATGCCCTGGGGTGGGCATCAGCTGGGGAGAAGGCCCAGTCAGCTCACCTGGGGGAGGGGCATGGTCTGCACTTCTCTCATTGGCTACCTGGGGACAGTTGTCAAGGTGTATCCTGAAAGATCCTATGATAGCTTCGGTAACTTCCCAGCCCCCACCTTCCCACCACTCACTTCTCTGGGACTTGGTGATTTGAGGTTCATTCTCACTTTGGAAAAAAAAAAAAAAGTGTTGTTGCCTCTGCAGTTCTGCCCCTTAGGAGATGGAGGTAGGTGGGTTGGAAGTTCAAAGTTCAACTCAACTATTTTGAGGCCAACTTGGGCTACTGAGACTCTGTCTCAAAAAATTTTTTATATTAAGGTAGATAGATGATAGATAGATAGATAGATAGATAGATAGATAGATAGATAGCAGGCATGGAGAAATTGGTTTAATTTTGACACACAGTTTTGCTATAATATCCCAGGTTTGTATCCAACTCTCAGTAATCCTCCTGCCTCAGCCTCTCAAGTGCTAGGATTTCAGACATTCTCCACCATGCCCAGCTGAAGTTTTGAAAGGGCAAGCAAGATTAGAACTACATACAAGTGGATATAGTCTGCTGCTTCTGAAGCCTGGGCGTGAGCGTGGTAGGGAGGACAGTAGGCTATCTGGGAGGGGGGGATTCTAGAGAGTGAATTTAGCAGACATGACCTCTGACTTTGGTCCTTACTCAGCAGTAAAATATAAGGACGGGCTTGGAATCAGCCATACCTGGGTTTGATCTTAAGGATGTGTCTTCATGCCTGTGAATCTAAGCTTCCCCATCTATAAGATGGGGATCATGAAGGCCTGTCTCTGTAGGGTCTCATGGTTACTTCTGTTAGGTTTTTGTGCTGGAGATGGAGTCCAGGGCCCTACGCATGTTAAGCATGTCCCCTGCAGCTCAGCCACTCCCCAGTCCCCTCCCTCACCATCGATTCTGCTGAGGTCCTGCATCTGGTGCTTACTAAATACCTAACCGTGGCACTCCTCCCTTTCCCACCCCTGTGCTGAATGTTCTGATGGCCAGTCCTTTCCTTCCCACCCCCATTACCATGACAACTCCTCCCGGAAGTCTTCCTGGAGGGAGCCGCCCGCCTCGGATTGCCCCACGGAGGCTTGCCATCTCAGCACTTAGATGCATTCTTTGCAGTTAATTCCCTAGGAGGCTGGAGAACAACCTGCCCCAGAGCTGGCGCTGACTTGGCAGTGAGGTGGGGTAGCAGAGTCACTAAGAGCAGGAATGCTGCCCGGTCACTTTCAGGACCATGTGTGAAGGACTTGGGGTTGCTGAGAAACCTAATGTCTGTATTCTCCCCAGCTCCACTCCTCCCACGGCTCCCACTGCTCAGGTCTAGCTAAGAACCAAGTTCCAGAATACTTACAGGTGTCCCCGTCCTGTTCCCCCAACATCAGCCCTGGGGCTCCAGGTGGGGTCCTCCAGACGCTTCTGCCTCAGCCTTCTAAGTGGCTGGGGATTACAGCTTGGAGCCTTAGTCTTCTCATCTGGAAAGTTCATGTGGTATTTTGCTTCCCTGGTTCCTTGGGCGGGGCTTTGTGTGTGTGTGTGTGTGTGTGTGTGTGTGTGTGTGTGTGTGTTATAGTCTGGAGAGATGGCTCAGCAGTTAGGAGCACTGGTTGCTCTTGCAGAAGACTGGCTTCTATTCCCAGCACCTATATGACATCCCATAACCACCTGTAACTCCTGTTCCTAGAGATCTAAAGACCTCTTGTGGCTTCCACGGGTGGTGCACGTGTATCTGTGCAGGCAAAACACACATACACATAGAATAAAAATAAATCTTTTAAAATTTGAAAATTTTTAAAATTTATAGTCGTGGCACATGTCTTTAATCCCAGCACTCAGCAGGCAGATCTCTTGGAGTTTGGGGCCAACCTGGTCTACAGAGCAAACTCTAAGACAGCTAAGGCTACACAGAGAAACCCTGTCTCAAAAGACCTCAAAAAATTAAAATTAAAAATTAAAAAGAACATATGTGGCCTTGTAAAATCTAACCAACTTGAGTTCTGGGTCTTAGCCTGAAGACTCTATGGCCTTGAACCTGTTTTTTTTTTTTTTTTTTTTACACCTCTGTACCTCGGGTCTTCTGTCTGCCGACTGGATAGCAATCCTCCAAAAGCATTGTCAAGGATGGTAATGTGTGTAGGCATGTAGGATGCTAAGCAGCCCCCCTGAGCTGTTTACACTCAGTGCCTGGCTTGATACCAGGTGTGTGGCTAGCAGTGTTAGAAAGGTCAGGTAGCCCCGTGGGAAGACCTAGGCTCTGAGCTGCTGAATGTGTTCCGTGATGTGACTTTGGACAGCTCTCAAGCTGCTCTGTGTTTTATTTCCCAACCCAAGAAGCAGGACCAAACCTTGCCACAGAGGGTTATTATGAAGATTAAGTGAGGCTGTATTTTAATGTAAAGTGCTTAGTAAGTCCTCCGCTTGCCTTTGTTATTTTTATTGCTCCTCTGAGTCAGTCCTTTCAACTGGGCCCTTCTCCAGATTGGCAAATCGAGGCTTTGTGAGTTAAAAAGGGTTCACAGAGCCACAGAAGCTGGTCAGCAGTGATGGATGGTAGGATGATTAATCCTGGAGGCGGTTGGTGCAGACCGGAGGGGCCCAGGCGCCTGACCCTTTTCTCCTCCCCCTGCAGGTGGTCCGCAGCAGCTTGGAAGAACAGGGATTGCATGTTCACAGTGTGCGCCTGCACGGCTCAGCGGCGAGTCACGTGCTGCACCCCAAGAGTGGCCTAGGCTACAAGGACCTGGACCTGGTGTTCCAGATGGACCTGCAGAGTGAAGCATCCTTCCAGCTGACCAAGGCAGTGGTCCTGGCTTGCCTGCTGGACTTCCTGCCAGTGGGAGTGAGCCGGGCCAAGATCACGCCGCTGACACTCAAGGAGGCCTACGTGCAGAAGCTGGTGAAAGTGTGCACAGACCTGGACCGCTGGAGCCTCATCTCATTATCCAACAAGAGCGGTAAGAATGTGGAACTCAAGTTCGTGGACTCTGTGAGGCGCCAGTTCGAATTCAGCATCGACTCCTTCCAGATCATCCTGGACTCGCTGCTCCTCTTTGGACAGTGCTCATCCGCACCAATGTCGGAGGCCTTCCACCCTACGGTGACCGGTGAGAGCCTATATGGGGACTTCACTGAGGCCTTGGAACACCTGCAGCACCGTGTCATTGCAACACGCAGCCCCGAGGAGATCCGAGGTGGTGGCCTTCTCAAGTACTGCCACCTCCTGGTACGGGGCTTCCGGCCAAGGCCCAGCACTGACGTTCGTGCCCTACAGCGATACATGTGTTCCCGTTTCTTCATCGACTTTCCGGACCTGGTGGAACAGAGGCGCATTCTGGAGCGCTACCTGGAGGCCCACTTCGGCGGAGCAGAAGCAGCCCGCCGGTATGCTTGCCTTGTGACATTGCACCAGGTGGTCAACGAGAGTACCGTGTGCCTCATGAGTCATGAGCGCCGCCAGACCCTGGACCTCATTGCCACACTAGCCCTCCATGCACTAGCTGAACAGGGCCCGGCTGCAATGGCTGCCCTGGCCTGGCGACGGCCTGGCTCAGATGGGGTTGTACCAGCCACTGTTAATTACTACGTGACCCCCATGCAGCCTCTACTGCCCCGAGCTCACTCCTATCCTACCTGGCTGCCTTGCAACTGACTCTGATCCTGGCCAGAAGGGGATGAGCTTCACAGGGTGGGGTGGGGTCATCAGGTCTGTGTGGAGGATGTAACCAGACACAGGCCACCTGTGCCAGCTGGCCCGGCACTATAGGGTTGGGCCTTTGAACAGACCAGACTTTCCTGCACGCGGCTCCAATGGGCTTAAAGCCAAGTCAGGGTTCCTGACAGGAGGACCTCTTGGTCATCACACTGCACTCTTGGACCCGTGTGACTGTGGGACACGGGCTACTTGTCTTGAAAAGACAAAGTCAGCTTGTGGGGTACCCTCAATAGCAACACCTTGGGTTGATTTCAATGGCCTAGAAAGGGTCAGCCCACAGGGACCCAGAGACTCCTATAGTGGCCACAATATGATGTCATGTAACAAAGCTATTCAGTTGGGGTCTGGCTGAGTCATTCACAGACCCTGGTGGTCAAACCTCTGATCATTAGAAAGACATAAACTGAGGCATAAGGCAGCTCCTTGGGTTTTTGGTGGAATGGCAGTCCAATCTCCTGAAACTTGAGTCCTTGCCCTAAACTATGAGGATTTCCTGAGGGCTGATGTATATGGTGGACTGATTTCCAAACAGCCAGAGTAGGATACGACTCATACACCCCCCAGTTCGTCCTCCATCTCCTATCCCTGTACCTTCCAGGAGCCCTACTGTCTGGGCACCATTGTTGGAGGCTGCTGGGTTCAAAGCTGTCACAGTCAAGTCGACCACTCCCTCCCCGCACTTGCTTGGTAATAGGACTCTCACATATCAGGAAGGAGGTATACCCCATCCTTTCCCCACTCCTCTGGATTTGTTGCTATTTTGCACTCTTCCCACCAATAAAAATGTCTACACTGAACATAACTGTATCTTCCTCCTGGGGAAAGGCTTCCTATGGCGCGAGACTGGCACTACCTCCCCAGGATGAGTTTGACTTGTCCTGTGTGAAGAGGGGCCAAGGGGTGGTCTTGGAGTGTCTTGACCGTCCACAGCTTGGCAACTATGAACTGGGAGCATGGCTGGTCTCCGTGTTGCCTCAGAAGTCTAGACCTCTTGTTAAAGGAGATAAATATTCATTTCTCCAGATTCTGTCCCTAGAGTCCTAGAGGCCCCAAACCTGGCCTCTGGCGAGCAGGTCTCCTCACTCCATCTCCCCAGGAAGTGAGCAGGATAAATCTGGAATGAAAGCTGAGGCTGGGACTTAGAGGATCCCCCAGAGCCTTGGTAGGGTCTCACTAGCAAGTGGACATGGGCATGTTCTGGCTTTTTGTAGGCTGGTCCCTTGGAGAGGGCAGGATCTCTCTGAAGCTAACTGGGCCCAGGAGTGCAGCTTTGGGGGAGATGTTCCCTCGGGGCAATGGCCACTCACCTCTGGACGCTGCCCACTGTTTACCCTGTCTCTTTGATCTGCTTATTGCAAAGCCTTTAACATGTGCAGCCTCATTAGTGTCCTCTGAAGTGGTGGCTTTTATGGCTCCAGCCAGGGTGACAAAACTAAAGCAGCAGAGGAGGCCTCAGTCATCAGAGGGCATCCTCGCCTGCTCTGTGGGTCTGGCTAGGTGCCTCAGTTCCTTTTGCTCATGGCTCCAAATGGCAGAAAAGGCAATTGGAAAGGCTACCACCTAAGGTTCTCAGGCATAATTTATCCTGCCTCCTGATTTGCCCACATGACCCTGACTATGGACCTGAAAACAGTGTAAACATAGCAGGCTCTGCATGTGCTTGGTTCAGGAAATAAGAAACCCAGAAGTCCTGATCTTTGTGTGTATGCCCTGTCTAAGCCTATGGTTCTAGGTTCTAGGGTCCCTCCCCTTGTGACAGTTATACCCTAAAAGGTACATAAACAGTGTGGTCCTGGAAGGACAGCAATGCATAAAAAGGTAGGTAGTGAGGGACTTAACAAGGTGTCCCTCCTTGAAAGATGGCATTCAACTGAACAAAGATTTAAAGGTCCTGGGAAGCGAGCCATGGCTGGAGAAAGTGTCCTGGGCCAAGGGAACTTGTCTGTGAATGTACACGTGCCCTGGCAGGTCTGTCGGAAGGAGGGCACGTGTACCTGAGGATGTCTGGCCAGTACTGTGTGGGTGTGGGTACTCTCTGGAGCTGGTACACACACGTGTGTGGATTCGAGGGGGTGGGGCGAGTGACGAAGTTCACACCAACAGCTGTGTCTGGCACAACTTATTCCAGACCAGATGCCATGCTTTGGCATGTGGGAACATGATTTCACATTTTCACCCCTGTAACAACAACTCCAGAGAATAGCATTAAGTTTACGTTTGACACCCAAAAGCGGAGGCCAAAGTGGTCAAAGAGGTTCAGACTCCAGATGCTGGATTCCATCCCTGCATCGTAATTCCCCAGGGTTGATGGTGACAGTCTGTCTCCTTTGCTTATGTGGGAGGGCTCAGGCTATTCACTGTATGACTGGCAGAGTGTGGTAACTTGCCAAGACATATATTTTTCTGATGTATCTGTGCCAGTAGTCATGGCTTGGGGTGACTGTCTGGGGCCTGTTGTGGTAACTACACTCCTGTCAGCCTGTGGGTGTGGTGCATTGTTTCCCAGGGTGAGAAAAATACTCTGTGCAGGACACTGCTCTCGTGGACTGTCCCTGGCGACACCTTCAAGGCCAGGATATGTGTAGACATCAGGAATTTGGAAGCAGCCAGAGGACAGCTGAGAGGAGAGAGCTCTCTGTCTTTCACCTTCCAACTGTGGTACCAGTCACAACCTATCTACCCCTTCCTACCAATCTGCAAGCCAGAGGGTCAAAGCCGCAGGGATGTGGGCTTGAGGAAGAGTGCTCCCAGGCAGGTGCGCTTACTCCGTGTTGGACTTTCCAGATACCATGGCCACCCTTCTCTGGCTCAGGGCCCTGGGAAGGCTTTGGACAACTTCAATGACTCCCTTGTTCCCCAGTTTCCTGTTGTTTTTAACAATGAGAGGCCCCAGCAAGAACCTGAAAGGACAGGGTGTTTCTCTCCTTGCTCCTTCCCTCCCAGGTTGTCATGGTTCACACCCCTCAACAATGGCAGCAACCCTTTAACACTTGCCTCCCTGTAGGCCCAACAGTAGGGAACTTCCATTCTGGTGGGTTCTTTTCATGAGCTCTCTCTCTGGAACCCTTGGCTTTCCACATTCTAAGCAAACACCTCATTACTGAAGTTACATCTCCAGTACTGTTCTTTTAGACACAGGGGCTCCCTATGTAGCCCAAGCTAGCCTTAAACTCCCCTATCTTCCTGCCTCAGCCTCCTGAGTGCTGGAATTATAGCCATGTGCCACCAGTCCTGGTTCCCCTTTATTGGTTTCTTAGGCAAATCCCACACCTTAAGAGTCCCTTTAAAAAAAAATTCTTCCTGGCCGGGCTATGGTGGCGCACGCCTTTAATCCCAGCACTTGGGAGGCAGAGGCAAGTGGACTTCTGAGTTCAAGGTCGGCCTGGTCTACAGAGTGAGTTCCAGGACAGCCAGGGCTATTCAGAGAAACCCTGTCTCGAAAAACAAAAAACAAACAAACAAACAAAATCTTCCTGGGCTGGAGAGATGGCTCAGCAGTTAAGAGCACTGACTGCTCTTCCAGAGGTCCTGAGTTCAATTCCCAGCAACCACATGGTGGCTTACAACCATCTACAGTGGGGTCTGATACCCTCTTCTGGTGTGTCTGAAGAGAGCAATGGTGTACTTACATAAAATAAATAAATAAATCTTTAAAAAAAAATTCTTCCCAATTTCAATGCGGTCTCCTGAGGAGATCTCAAAGGACTGTCACCTGCAACCCTACACTATGGGCTGTCGCCATGCACTGCCACAGTAGCCCAGCCTCAGTGGGTGGCAGCCTTCCTCCCATGTGCATTTCTATCTCTGGGCTTCTCTATCACACCCTTAATGACAGAAACTTCCTAAGGGTCTGCTCTGAACCAAATCAAGGGGAAAATCAGTCTGCAAGCCAGGCCCAGACTCCCAAACCAAACAGAAGCCCCATCAGGAGCTGTCAACTGAGACATGACCCACCCAGAGGAAAGGCAGGAAGGACACTGGCAACATGGATCTCAGAACCGCACACCTCGGCCTCCCGTTACTTATATTATTTATTCCCCTGTGTGTATACAGTTGGTAACTGAGTCGATATACAGCCACTTACAGAAGCCTATATGTTCTGGCCGGTGTGTGAGTAAATGCGCCTCCTTCCCTCTCTCCGGATATGTGAAGAAGCAGATTTCCTTTGTGCATGTAACTTTGTGAAGTTTGATGTTGCCACCACATCATCCTGAGAAAAGTGTCCCCTAGGAGGCAGCAGCTGATTGTCTGCAAGGAGCTACAGGCATCTCCTCACTCACAAGGGAAGGACAAGGACAGTGGGTGAGGGGAGACAGGGGTCTCCTACAGCAGTGATTTGCCTCAAAGAGGCCTCCTGCTGCTGCTACAGATATAGAAGGCATGATGGAGACTCCAGCTACACCGTGACTTGTGTAAGAATGAGGAGTCTATCTTTAAGAAGAAATTCTCTCGGTCACACTGACTACGTTTGCTGCAGTCTCAGCTAATCTGAGAGCATCTCGGGTCTCTGTATAAGCAAAGTCAAATACAGTGTATAGAAAGCAATTCAGAGTATAGCAAGTTCCCAGGGAGGACCCAGTCCCTTGCCACAGTATGGGCTCCTGAGAGGGCGCTGAGACTGGGTACAGTCAGTCCTGGAAGTCTTCCTGGAGGCGGGGTATCCAGAGAAGGTGCGGAATGCAGAAGTCAGTCCAGACCCATAGAGTGGAGGCTCTGAGGAGCTGGAAGAATAATGCCAAGAGCCTTAATTATTTTTCCAGAAGCTGCCCCACCCCACCCAAAACTTCCACATCTGTCTCTTTGAGAAGGCCCATCATGGGGAGACAGGGCAAAAGGGTTTGCTATGGAAAGGGGCTCGGAGAAGCAGAGGTTCCCTTGGGTCTTTGTCCTTGGCTGGGATCCCCACCAGTCTGCTCGGCCGGAATGGAATGTTCCTGTAATGAAGAAAGAGCCTGCCCCTCCCCCACTTCTCCACTTATGGAGCTCCCCAGGGCTGCTGTAGGAATTCCTGATATGGCCATGCTCCCAAGAGCAGCGGTTCTCAACCTTCCTAATGCTGTGCCCCCTTAATATGGTGACCCCTCAAACCATAAAAGTATTTTGTTACTTCAAAACTAACTTTGCTACTGTTATGAATTATAATATAAATATCTGTGATGCACACACACCCCCCAAGGAGTTGGGACCCACAGGTTGAG